AAACCTTTCAGTGTGTGATTATTTCTTGATATAAGAGTAATTTATGTTTAAGGTGTTTAAGGTGGAGTAGTTACAAATCTCTGTAACAAAGCTCAGCTAAGATTAGATATGACTTCTGAACACAATAATTTCCAAATATTCTCACAGCTTGGAGGAAAAGGGCTTTTAGGATAAATTACTTTATTCTATATATCAATGAAAAATTATAATTTGAAAGGCTGGTAGCTCATGACGGATTCAAAATATATATCATTGCCTCTACGGAGTGGTATTTGTTCCACTATTGTTGCAAGCAAAGAAGACATTTTGTAAATTGAAATTTGAAGAAAATTCAATCCAGATATAAAACTTTGAAAAACATTTTAATCAAAAAAGGGTTTAGAGAGAAACTTTGCTGGTTTTGCTGCTAAATTTTTTACTCTGAATTTATTTGACTGATTTTATATTTTACATTATTTATTTATTTTTCAAATTACTGGTTTTATAAATTGCTTTCTTTTCAAGCTGCGTTTTATGGATTACATTCTGTAAAACGGGTTTTTATGGAGTGAGGAGAGGAGATGCGTTACTATTGGGCTGCATGGATGTTAGCAACATTTTTATTGGTCAAGAGCGAGCGTTTGTATTGGCTTTGAAGTGAAGGGAGTGTAATTTGTAAAACAAAATTTGAAAAACAGGAATTTCAACAAAAAAATACAAAAATCTAAAAAAAAATTTTTTTAGATAATAAAATTTGAAAATATAAAATCTGAAATTTTTCTCATGAAAAAACGCGAGGAAAAAAAAAGTAGAATTGTACAAAACAGGCAGTTTACTGTCGGAGCCGTTTTTAAGTTAAAAAACGTTTTTCAAAGTTTCTTTTCTGGATTGCAGTGGGTTTTTTTTATATTTAATTAACAAAATATGTTTTTTTTTTTTTTTTTTTTTTTTTGCTTGCAACAATAATGGAACAAAATTCACTCCATATACTGGAAGCTGTAGACAGTCTAACTGAACCTAAATTAAGTTTTTCTGTGCAATAATCTGGGCCAAACTGGAAATCATTTCACCCCCTGCCTTGATGGTTAAGTGACTTTATTTATTTTTTGTGAATTTGCACAAATAAGAGAAGCTGATAAAAAAGAAAAAAAAAACAGTTGTTGAGAAGCCTAGACTTTTTCTTTTTGTTCAAATCTTTTGATTCTTGGCATCAAAAGTAGGTTACTACACTCACTGTGCTTTCAGTGCATCATGTGAATACAAATCAGGTCGTTCATTGTCAACGACACATTCTCTGTAGTTATTCAAGTGGAACTAAAGAGAAAATCGTGCTTTCACCTAATCCTGCTCTTCCCACCATCATGGGTGGCTTCAGCTCCTGCTGGCTCTCACTAACCCAGTGCTGAACGCAAATGTTTGCTGTAAGCATTTCCTGCATTACACCAAAATGGCGGAAAAAACAAGAAATTTAGTTCAGATTACATTTATTTTAACTGCTGCTCTAAGAAATTTAATAAAATGAAGAAAAAGCAGCATTTTGGATAAATTATATTATTTATTACATTAAGCTGAGAAAAATGTAGGGAATACTTTAAATGAGGCACTTATTTAGTTCCTATGGGTCAGTAATGGTCACCATAGAAAGTGCTCCTCACCTGGGTTTTTTAAAACGTTTTCATAAATGAATGCCACAATCAGAGGCATCCTCCTTTTTCTTAGAAGTAGGTCAGCATTCCAGCGGTTATATAAGGATTAGGTAAAATGAAACAGCCCAAATAGCATTTACTCTCACGTGCCATTTAAAGGACCGGGAGTTTGACGACAGAATGAAGCCATCTCATTGCTTTTTGCCTGGAAACAGATGACCCCAAAGCAAAATGGAGTTAAGGTTTGAGTGAGTAGGTGAAATGGGGATGTGGCTGGAAACTGAATGAGGTAAAACGCTTAGCAGCAAGCTTTGGTGGTCAGCTTTTTAAATATAACAAGTGAAAATAAGTATGTAAGTTTGTTTTTTGGAAATATGCAAGAAATAGAACAGAAGTATAGGGTTACATCTTTAAATCCCTGCACTTCGGTATTCCTATCACCCCCATTTCCACAGATGGATTAAACCCAGCCCATGGGCTTTATCCGGGTCTACAGAGCTTAAAGAAATAATGGGTCATTCTCAGGATAAGATTCAACCTGTGCAGTTAAACTAGTTGTGACATTTTTTTGGTCCTCAAACAATTCTTTTTGTGATTTCACATGAATAATGGAGCAATGGGTCAGAGAGCCTTGGTTGGATTTTATAACAAGTGGGGAACATTTACATTCTCTGGAGTAGTTAATCATGTTTTTTCTGTTGGCAGTTGCCAAGGGAACGGTGTTAATCAGACTATATTGTGTCAAATGTAAAGTTTTTATGGTAGGTCACATCTGTTCAGAAGTTTGGCTTTGCACTTCAATTCTAATATAATAAACCCTTTATGCTGCCATATAGTGAGACATCTAAAGGTCCTGTATTGGAGTTTCATCCTAGTAAGACAGCCTATGAGAAAAGCTGCAAAACTCACTGGTTAAAACCTCAATCTGTCACATTGGGTTTCCTAGGAAGATCTCTAACCCCACAATTCTCCCTGGGTGCTGCAAGCTGTTCACTGTTCCCTAAGGAATGGGTTAAGCAAAGGACACATTTTATTGTAATGTATGACTACATTAAAAAATTAGAGTGATTATTTTACCTACTATTCAAAACGTATGTATTTGGATCAGACCCAGTTCCAACATGACCGCGCACAAGTGTCCTATAGAAAACCTTTAGATTATATACGGAATGAGAAAAATGACTGTTAGCCAGAACCTGTTATTCAACATTAGTATCTGACATCAAAAGTGCATTTCGGAAATAGACAAAGTTTCCCACACATGAAGACCATCTTACCAAAAGGACGTGTTGAGCATCATTATATTAAACCCACTCTAGGCAGTTCAGGGACTTTTCCCAGAATTTTTGCACAAGCACACTTTATAGATCCCTCCCTGTTGCTAGTTGATGTAACGCAACTGAACTGGACCATGCGAGACACAACCGAACCACGCTAAATCTAGTTGAACTATAGGGCTAGGCACGGTTCAGTTGTGGCTTGGTTCTCTGACAAAAATTACCCCATTTACACTACCCTTGAAAAACCGATCCATGCCGAGACCGGTCCGAGCTTGGATCTTATGACCGTTTACACATCACGCTATCTCGGCTCCTCGCCTCCTAGTGACAATCCGTGGTATTACTGCCGGTATTGAAGGAGGAAATCAAGCACTTGGTGGCGGTAATGCACCAAAAGTTGTTTGCCAACCGCCATAAAACACAAGAAGAAGAAGACGAAGAAGGAGGGAATCAAGCAAATCAAAATGTCAGCGCCCGTCACATTCAGAAAGTTATGCTTGATTATTATTGCTGTACTTTGGTGTTTGTGGAGGGTCAGGCAAAGACGGTAACCTTTCGTGGATTTACTTGATTGTTGTTTATAGTTGTTCTTCTTCTTCTGTTTCTGGAGGGGCATTACCGCCAACTACTGGAATAGAGTGTGAATCGGGGCGCGCAGCCAGACGGAGATGACACGTTCTGCTCACGCGCTCTTGTTATCAGAGAACCAAGCCAGGGAAAAACCGAGCAGAGCCCACCTCTGGAACTGGTCTGCAGTTAGCTCGGTTCGGTTTTGTTTAGCTCGGTTCTGTTCAGTTTGCTTTCTATTTACACACGATAAGTTATATCAGTTACTGAGCTCGGACCGGTCTCTGCACTGTTTTTCAAGAGAAGTGAAAATGGGGTAAATGAGACAGAGTCATCTCCTATTTAGCTGATTCATTTCGCGGGTTTTCCGCTGTGTCCGGCTTGGGAATTCACAGAGGCTCTGAGTTTTCTGCCGTCAGCAAGCAGCAAGTTCTGCTATGGGCCTCGTCCTCCTCCAATGAACAGGTAGTCAGACTCAGCAGTAAAATGTGACGGTCTTGACAATGTTGGTATTCCTCGCTCATCAAGGCTAGATAGAGACTTGATCAAATTAGGTAATGACATTATCTTCCAACTTTTGGGACAGCCAATTGCAACTTTCCTTGTTAAAGAGTTGACAGCAGTAGTTACTCTCCTCTAGGTTTACACCAAAAATCCAGGTGAATCAATTTTTTTCCACATATAAGGAAAAGTTGTGGTGAATATGTTTAGAACTACTACTTACATCAACTTAAAATAAAAATTTTTTTTTTTTATTTAAAAATGTATATTCTCTTCTATATTAATACTCTCTTCTAGCCACCATAATCGGCAGCACAATATTTCCAGAGTGATTGGCTGGCTTGTGGGAGATGTCCCTGGGGATTCCCAGTGCTAATCGGGTGCTTTGTATGTAGGATGATGCCGCTGCAATATACTTAAAAGGATCATAATCCTAATGAACATATAATCCTGTCATTTTTTCCTCACTAATAACTAATGATAAAATAAAACAATACCCCGCTCTGCATTACATCTACCTTTGCAAACAAGAGACTGCTGTTACACCATATTCTGTGAGCAATCATATATACTGACCCAACGGGTTGGTATATATAGTATTTCACCACAGACGTCCTTAGGTTTAGGTATGATTCCTGTGACGTTAGGGTTAGCATAAGCAGACTGATGAGGATAATCCGCAACAGCAAACATTTGTCATAATATATGGCGGGTAATAGTGTGTTTGTACACTCTTAATATCAGAAAAACTGTCAGAAACACGTCTGACTTTAATGTGCACAAGCATCCAAGGTGAGGCGTTGGACGCCTTTTTTACTAATGTGGTGTGAATGCAGCATAAGCTTTAGATGAGAAGCTGAGGAAAGGTACCACCACAGGCAAAAAGCTCTACTTTAAGGTTCCCGACTGTCTCCATTTGCTTAATTTTTCCTGGTAAAACTGACACTTTGTTGAATCACGGGCCCTTTGTGGCATCGAGGCTTCATTGTTCACTCATAGCCTCCTACAATGTTTCTCTACATATCAGACCAAGCTGCAGAGGAGGAGGAGGAGGGGCCAAGCCAAGCAGGATTGACAATGCCATCTGTCGAGCTGCCAAGGAAACGGAAAGGAGAGGTGGAAGAGAGGTCAGACACCCGTGTACAGTAAGAGCTGCTGTTTGTGACAATAAAGAACCTTGGCGTCCTTTTACCTCTGTGTACCTTCGTAACCATGGCAATAACCAATTGGACACATTGTCCCTGTGGGGTATTAAATGACTCACATTGTCTCTGATCTCACAGGCAAAACTTCAGCTTCAGCCTAGAGGATGACCTCTGCAGGTACACAGAACCTTCAGGCTTTATAGGTTGATAATGGAGGAGACAGACTTCTCATTCATATCTGATCATTTTCTTTGCAGGTCTGAGGGGGAGGATCAGCAAGTCAAAATGAAATGCTATAGGTGAACATTTATGGACTTCTAGATCAGGGGTTCCCAATGAACAGAATGCACTAATGAACATTTAGATTAGATTAGATTTGATTCAACTTTATTGTCATTACACAGGTACAGGTACAAGGCAAAGAAATGCAGTTAAGGTCTAACCAGAAGTGCAATAGCAGCAAGTGCAGGATAAATAATGGTTCCATAAATACAGGATATGGGTTTCTACTGAATAAATATAGAGATGAATACCATTATAAACATAATTTTACTCATAGATTTGTCCTATGAATATAATATATAGATAACTAGTGCTATGAACTAAATATACAGCTGGGTATGTACCGAATATAATATACAGGTGGATATTACTATAATAAGGGTTTTAATAGTTACGTACAATAGAATAATATACAGATGGGTTTTACTATAAAATAAATAAATAAAGTTTGGACAGAATTAAAGTCTAAATTAAAGTGCAGTGGAAGGTAATTGCATATTACAGTTAAAGTACGGTATTGCAAATGTATATGTAAACAATTGGTACTGTGAATAAACAGTCGTCAGTGCAAATCAATAATAAAAAATTAGATAGGATTCAAAAAATACATTTATTTAAAAATGAATATACCTATTTCATTGTAACTTTAAAAAAAATATAGAGTTAAGTAACAATAATATCAACATTTAATCGCATGAAATAAATGAAAGCCCAGCCACCCTGTGGATAAAACCAATTTCAGCCTCTTGTATCCGGGATCTCTTTCAGTCCTGATCCAGATTTAATGTGATCCAGTAGAAACGTAGAGCGACCAGTAGATCAAGAGCTTTGCCTTTTTGCTCAGCTTTTCTTCACCAACAAAACAAGCAACAACAACTTAATTCACTTTTATTTGGAAATAAATATAGAGTGAAATAACAATATAGATTTTATAAAAAAAAAAAAATCATAGAATAAATAAATGTACCATGAAATAAGAAGATACAACATTTATTCATTTATCTAATAAATGATACAAATACTAAACATTATAAAAAGCACAATTAAATAATTAAAAGAGCTATTAAACATTTCTTTATATGTGTTTATTTAATGTATCACTTACATTGTAAAACGTATATAGTAAAGTAATAATTTGTATGGACGTTAAAATACATCACTGAGTATATAAATGTTAAACCCATAAAATAAATTGTTGTACAGTGAAATAAAAGGCAGTAACATTTATTTGTTTATCTAATTCATGATTTAAATACAAAAATATAGAGAATGCACAATTAGATAATTAAATATCCCATTAAATATTCAAAATTACATTTAAGATAGTTAAAATAATAATTGATTGTTATTTAAAAAGAGTGCTTAATTAAAAAGAGTGCTTAATTACTCTACTTTTATTTTGAAATAAATATTTAGCGAAATAATGTTTACTTTTAATAAGGTCATGTGAGATCTTTTTATTTATTATTTATATGAACTTTAATGATTAAATGATAAAGTGCATAATTAGAAATAATTGAATTGCCTATTAAATAAATAAAATTACATTTAAAATAGTTAAAATAACAGTAAAATATCATTTTAAAAGTGTAATTGAGCTAAAATGAGTATATTGTGTTTATAAATAAACAGCTAAGTTACATTAAAATGAATTTAAATCAGGATTAAAATGTTAATTTCACAATGAAATTATATATAAGAGCTACAAATTGGAACTATATCTCCAGGGAGCCTCACCGGCAGATTGAGAAGCGGCGGAGGGACAAAATGAACAACCTCATAGATGAGCTTTCCGCCATGATCCCTGCCTGTCAGCCAATGGCGCGGAAGCTGGACAAGCTCACTGTTTTACGAAAAGCTGTACAACACCTGAAAGCCCTCAAAGGTAACATAACCGCACACACACTGCTGCTGAAAACATTCGGAAAGAGTCTTAAAATGGATCTGATGTGCTTCCAGCCGGAGCGAGCGGCGCCTTCGCAGACACCAAGCATAAGCCTTCCATCCTGCCTCATGACGACCTCTGGCATCTTCTGCTCAGGGTGAAGTTTTCCGAGCTAAAATCATCCCCGGTTCAGTTTAATCATTTAAACGTTTTAAGCCACCTGCTTCTTAGCAGCTCTAAAGATAAGGTAACGAGCGGCACTACCTGCTGCCTGGGATCAGCTGCCTGGTGTATGAGTCGACTTAAGCAATGCACAGATGGCCCTTCACTAAACACTGAAGCTAATTTAGACTAAGGTCTAAATAAAGCCAAAGCACCAGCACTGCACCATTGTGCATGACTATAAGAAGTTTGAATCAACATGTTGGTCTTTTATAACGGCTGCTGTTTGGCATTTTCCCTTAGAACTTTAAGCTGGAGTAGCTCCAAACCCCCTGATGATGCCATGTGGAGAACCTGTCCCTTAGATCTTTAAAGATAGTTTCTTTTAGTTTTAATAATCTGTTTTTTTTTGTATTTAGTTTGCTTAAATCAGTTTTCAAATAGTGTTATTTCTTTTTTCCAATTCTGAATCAATTCTCATATTTAATCCTTTGATTGATTGAATATAACCAAAGATCTCTACAGCTGCCATCAACTACCATCACTTTATTTGCTGGTAAATGTTAATGTAATACCAGTATCTATTTTTTTACATAGTCATATAATTAAGGTCATAGAAGAAAAAATGCATATAATTTTATACTATTAATAAAATTTGAGATTGGATTGAATAAAAAAGAATAAATTCTAAATCTTGAGAATTTTCTTAAATTTTCTCATGAATTAAATCAATACTCAGCCCTATTTTCAGAAGGAGTTTTATTAGTTGTTATCATTTCAATAATTATTTTTATTTATTATTTTTGGTACTACTTTTAGTTTTTTAGTACGTTTGATTTTTTAGGTGCAGGATTAAAAAAGTTTAAAGTATTGTATTTATATTATCATGTATTTATGTCATAAAAAAACTTAAAGCAAAATACAATTTTTCAAAAAAATCACTAATCAATAATGAATAATGATCATTATTCATTACTGATTTACATCAATAATGATGTAAACTAACTCGTGTAAAAACAAAAATACCAAAACACATAAAAAAATAGAAACTCAAATGCATTTTTTTGTCTTGTTTTAAATATGCTTAATGTAGTTTTAGTTATTTATGGGTTTTTTTTCCATTTTAGTAGCAATTTTTATTCATTTCAGTTAACAAAAACTTTTTTGGTTCAATCTTTTTTAGTTTTAGTTAACCATAATAACCAGCAAAAAGGTCGTACTAAAGTAAAAGTAGCTCTACTTGAATACATCGGGGGTTCTAAACCAAATTTACCAGGGGAGCAATGGTGGGGCCAGTATTTCTCATGGGGGCACTGAAGAAAAAAGGGGACAAAAAACAGAAATGTTTCACTATTAGATCTATTAAGGAAAAAAAAGGAGCCATTTGAAGTGCTGGAAACCTCAGATCTAGAAGGTGAAAACTGTGATCCTATCTCAGTACAACTGAAGCTGAAAGTGCAACAACTTCATTTTGAAATCATCACTAAAAGAAAACAAATTCACTTTTTCTTTTACTTTAATATAATAATGAAATTCAATAAGACAATAAAATAAATCATGCATTTTTATTTTATAGACTAGAACACATACATTGAAAAATATTTTTTTAACAATATAAAATCATAAAAACCTTTCTTACCGTTTAAAATGTACAAATGATTTAACAGGATAAGGTACCTCTTGTAATAATATATACTTTTCTGTGTATTAATCTCACCTCCATGTCATTAAAATCTCAGCAGCTAAAAGTAACATAAAGAAACAGGTTATATAGCTTAAAATGTAAAGTAAACTTAAGTACTCACTTTCTTCTGTTCCACAACACTGACAGTTACCCAAAGCTTTAAAAGCTTGATATGTCTAAACAGTTTCTGCACTTCTCAGAAACGGGAGTAAAGATTCTGTTTTAACACTTTTTTTTTTGTATATATTTTTGCCTTTAGGCTGCAGATGGCTTCCTGTTAGTCGTAAGGTGCGACCGGGCAAAGATCCTATTCATATCTGAGTCTGTCTCCAAGATCCTTAACTTCAGCAAGGTTTGTTAAGCCTCTGTGTTTTCATTGGTTACACATGTTTAAAAAAACTAACTAAATGAAGGGTCTGAATTAAGAAACCAATGAGCCCATTCAAATGCACTGGTCTACAGTAAAATAACTGTAGATCAGGAAAACAAATTCCCTTCAGGATGACGTCACAGCCAAAAAAAGCAAGATCAGATGGAGCAAATATGATGAGTAAAAGCAGAGAGAACATTAAGTTAGGGGTTGAACTAACAAATACTGCAGAATGGGAGAGTAGATATAGAATGAAGCACAGGGAGGAAAAGTGGTCTCTACAGGTGCTGGTCATAAAATTAGAATATCATGAAAAAGTAGATTGATTTCAGTAATTCCATTTAAAAAGTGAAACTTGTATATTATATTCATACATTACATACAAACTCATATATTTCAGATGTTTATTTTGTTTAATTTTGATGATTACAAATGACAACAAATGAAAATCTCAAATTCATCATATCAGAAAATTAGAATATTACTGAAGACCAATAAAAACAAAGGATTTATAGAAATGTTGGCCAACTGAAAAGTATGAACATGAAAAGTATGAGCATGTACAGCACTCAGTATTTAGTTGGGCCTCCTTTGGCCTGTATTACTGCAGCAATGCGGCGTGGCATGGAGTCGATCAGTCTGTGGCACTGCTCAGGTGTTATGATAGCCCAGGTTGCTCTAATAGTGGCTTTTAGCTCTTCTGAATTGTTGGGTCTGGTGTATTGCATCTTCTTCTTCACAATACCCCATAGATTTTCTATGGGGTTAAGGTCAGGAGAGTTTGCTGGCCAATTAAGAACAGGGATACCATGGTCCTTCAACCAGGTACTGGTAGCTTTGGCACTGTGTGCAGGTGCCAAGTCCTGTTGGAAAATGAAATCTGCATCTCCAAAAAGTTGGTCAGCTGCAGGAAGCATGAAGTGCTCTAAAACTTCCTGGTATGTGGCTGCGTTGACCCTGGACCTCAGAAAACACAATGGACCAACACCAGCAGATGACATGGCACCCCAAACCATCACTGACTGTGGAAACTTTACACTGGACTTCAAGCAACGTGGATGAAGTGCCTCTCTTCTTTTCCTCCAGACTCTGGGACCTTGATTTCCAAAGGAAATGCAAAATTTACTTTCATCAGAGAACATGACTTTGGACCACTCACCAGCAGTCCAGTCCTGTTTCTCTTTAGCCCAGGCAAGACGCTTCTGACGCTGTCTGTGGTTCAAGAGTGGCTTGACACAAGGAATGCGACAGCAGAAACCCATGTCTTTCATACGTCTGTGTGTGGTGGTTCTTGAAGCACTCACTCCAGCTGCAGTCCACTCTTTGTGAATCTCCCCCACATTTTTGAAGGGGTTTTGTTTCACAATCCTCTCCAGGGTGCGGTTATCTCTCTTGCTTGTACACTTTTTTCGACCACATCTTTTCCTTCCCTTCGCCTCTCTATTAATGTGCTTGGACACTGAGCTCTGTGAACAGCCAGCCTCTTTAGCGATGACCTTTTGTGTCTTGCCCTCCTTGTGCAAGGTGTCGATGGTCGTCTTTTGGACAACTGTCAAGTCAGCAGTCTTCCCCATGATTGTGTAGCCTATAGAACTAGACTGAAAGACCATTTAAAGGCTTTTGCAGGTGGTTTGAGTTAATTAGCTGATTAGAGTGTGGCACCAGGGGCCATCAATTTTGAACCTTTTCACAATATTCTAATTTTCTGATATGCTGAATTTGAGATTTTCATTTGTTGTCATTTGTAATCATCAAAATTAAACAAAATAAACATCTGAAATATATGAGTTTGTATGTAATGTATGAATATAATATACAAGTTTCACTTTTTAAATGGAATTACTGAAATCAATCTACTTTTTCATGATATTCTAATTTTATGACCAGCACCTGTATGTCTTCCAGCACCCCAAGCCTATAGCAGCATAACTATAATGATAGCGCAGGATTACCTGACTCTAACTATATACTTTATCAAAAAGAAAAGTTCAGACCTTGATCTGTAAACGGAAAGAACATTTGTCACAACTGCTAAACTTCCTGTTCGAGTTGAAGGAGGGATAATTGGAGCTTTATACTGGAAATGGAAGAAACTCATTTAGAAAGAGATGAAGGTTTAGGATGGGGTGGAGTTCGAACTTCCAGCCGAACATAACTGGTTTAGATAAATTCATATGAGAAAGCCAATAAAAAAGTCTAATATAATTTTTTATTCATTTTACAATTATACATTGTAATGATTCATATATTAATGTAAAAAAAGAGTGTAAAAAATGTTTACAATGTCCTATAGCCTTTGGCTTGGGTGTTTAAATAGAGAATGTTTTATATTAGCTGAACGTTTATGTGTTTCAGACAAAAAACTAAAAAAAATAATTTAAGCACATGCATTTTATTTACAGATGGAGCTAACAGGGCAGAGCTTGTTCGATTTCATTAACCCCAAAGATATCCACAAGGTGAAGGAACAGCTTTCATCCTCGGAGATGCTCCCCCAGCAGCGCCTCGTCGACGCCGCAAGTAAGACTTCACTCGACCAAAAACTTGAACTGATTGAACAGGAAGAGCTTTGTCTCAGAATATGCATTTTTCCTCTGTGCAGCTGGAGTCCAGGTCCAGACGGAAACCCCCATCAGGCCGTCGTACTTGACCGCTGGAGCTCGGAGATCCTTTTTTTGCCGTATGAAGCACAGTCGGGTCGCAGGGAAGCACGAAGACAAGCACTCACTGCCTGGTGTTTCTAAGAAGAAAGGTGGGTGCAGCGTGGAAATGCCTTTTAATCAGGTTCTGAAGCTGCCCTGCTGCGCACCTGCACCGCACATGTGACATGTCAGCAGATGGGCTCGCTGGTCTGCAGGGCTGCCATTAGGAAGCATGACTGGATCAGCTGATGCTTATCAGCTAGCACAAGAGGTAAGTTTTGTCTGGACAGAGAGAAGCTCACGTGATCATCAGTCCCCCTGATGTGGTTCTAAGGGGTCTGAAACATGCAAGGACATTTCCATTAAAGAACATGTGATATGGATGAAACGTTTCACCAAAGTTTTTTACAACACGATTCTTGACTTTCCTTTTTGGTATTTTTGACTTTAATGTCAGAGATCCTGAGGATGAACAGTTTGAAACTCCACTTTCTTTCTACCTGCCCTTCTTTGTGTCGTTTTGTCACATAAAGCACCATTAAAATATATTGTTGTGGTTTATTTTTTGTTATTGCAGTTTGGAGAAAAGACAAAACAGTCAGGGTGTAAAAACACTTTTGTAAGAATGTAAAGCAGATCAACCTGAAGGAACTCTACAGAAAAAAAAAACGTAGGGTTTTTTAAGCAGCTTGCAAAAGTCTGGGATTTATTTTTGTTTTTTTAGCTCTGGGTAACAATGGGAAATAAAAGTATATATTTGTTTTTATTTCCTTCCTTCCTTCCTTCCTTCCTTCCTTCCTTCCTTCCTTCCTTCCTTCCTTCCTTCCTTCCTTCCTTCCTTCCTTCCTTCCTTCCTTCCTTCCTTCCTTCCTTCCTTCCTTCCTTCCTTCCTTCCTTCCTTCCTTCCTTCCTGTCACTGAATAAGCTGTAAATTAAAAGGGGCAAATGACCTGAACAAACTTAGAAACCATGAGAAGTACTGAGTTGTGCATCATTCTGTACTTTCATAAAGAAAGTAACAGTAGAGAACCCAGGATTCATCTTCCCACATTTTAAACCTGTATTAATGCTCTTTTTGGGGGTGAGTTTCTAAAACAAGGCATAGAAGGAAATGTTCCACTCAGAAGCAACCTTAAAAAAGGACCTGATTACCACGAAGAGTTGTTTAAGTTTAATCGATATCAACCAGGTCATGAAAATTCAACTACAACCCCTTAAATTTTGTTTTGTCAAAGCCTTTAATGAGTGACCAGCATACAGTATTTTCTTATATTACATGACTCATGCTCTGTCGCCATCTAGTGGTACAACCCGACAACTACACTGGTGAATAATTACCTTCCAGGTGCTTCATACTCTAATTATTCTCTCTATGTGAGAGAATAATTCAAGTTATGATAATGAAAATAATAACTGTGATGTGTATTATTATTCTGCTAGCTTGAATCAATTACATTACAGCTGCGTGTCATAGTTGACTTCCTCTAAAAGTTTGGCCCACAGTAGATTCCTGCTGACCCTTTTTTTTGTTTGCAAGCTTAGTAAGATTGGACCAAATTTTTCTAAGTTTAGTTTGTAAAACTGGACTTTTACCTGGGGTTTCTAGCAGATCAGTATTTTTTTTTTTTAACCTAAACCGCTATTCAAACCATAGTACTGACTGTATCTTCACTGCAAAAACGATCTAGAAATAACAAAAAATTGACCCTTAATTTGAGAAAAGGTATATAAGATGATCTGCCAATGGATTCGTTTTTTTTACCCTTACAAAAAAGATATGCACTTGAAATAAGAGACTGCAGTATTTTTTTTCCCCCCTCATTTTACATTTAAATTATTTTATTCCATTGACAAAGTGTCTCACTTACCTGCTCAAGAAAAAATAAGCCCTTATTTTAAGAAAATAAATAATTACTTAGATTTAAAGTTTTTCGAAGTGTTTATGGTTGATGTTCGGCTTGAAAGGGAATCCCAAGCTAAGTGTAAAGTTTTTAGTAAGCTCCCATCAAGTTGTCTTCCTAAAATTGCCTACGACCAGCCTCCCTATCCATGCTGAAGAAAAAACAACCCTACAGAAGTATGCTGCCAGGCCCACCGTCAACCATGGGGATAGTGTGATTCTATTTTCTGCCACACATAGGACTTTTCATGCTAATCAAAATGTTAATTTCTGGTCTCATGCGAGCAGAGACCTTGTACGACTCAATGGGCTTGTGGCAACTAATTAACTGGTCGTCTTAAGGCTTTCTTGCCACTTTTTATCAAAACTTAGCATTGTTGGAGTGCACAACTAATAGTCTTGCTGTGAAGAGGTTCTCTTCTCTAGGGGTGTTTCAGTTTCTTTAAAATTGCAGCAGGATTTTTGGTCTGCATTGCGAGCATTAAGTCTGACTTGTCCTGGGTTCATGGTGTAGGGGTGCTCTTCGCCACCGAGTGTGAAGCGACCATGGTCTTCGACCAGAAAGAGGCGTCTTGTCCTCTTCTGGCTGGACGAGAGTTCCTGCCTCAAGTGGTGGAGTTGAAGTATATTGAGGTCCTTTTTACAACCGAGGGGAGAATGGATCCGGAGATCAATAAAGAAATTGGTGTGACTGCCACTATTATACATGTGCTGTGGCAGTTTGTTCTGGTAAAGACAGAGCTGAGTGAAAATGCAAAGCTCTCAATTTACCAGTCGAATTACATTCCCAGGTCCTGGATCCTGGAAGAGGCTGAAAGCTTTCTCCATAGGCTGGCTAGGTAATACCTTAGTGATAGGGGGAGGAATATGTTAGTCTGGGAAAGACTCAGAATAGAATAGCTTCTCCTCCACATCAAGATCAGGCAGGTGAGGTGTATTGGACATATTTTTTCAGATGGTCCATGGATGTCTCTGTCAGAAGTCTTCCATACACTTCATATTGGAAGAAGGCCAAGTGGACAATCCAAGACAAATTACAGGACAATGTCTCTTGGCTGGCCTCAAGCTTTCCCCAGCAGAGCTGGAGAAGATGTCTGAGGAGAGGAAAGTCTGGGAGTATTTGCTGACACTGCTGGTCCCACAAACCAGTCCCAGAAAAGTGGAAAGCAATGAGTAAAAGTACTAGTATGAGTTGTGTTTAGTGGGTTTGCAGCTGAGCCATACCATCTGAGCGATGTTCAGAACTTTGGATGTTCCGTCAATTGTCTGTTGTGTTGCCTGGTGTTGTGGTCTTCCTGTACTCGTAAGAAATCTCTGAACCTCCAGACAGCAGCTCGATTCCTGGTTATGTCACATAAAATACAATGAATATACCTTGTTTCTGCCCACAGAAACATACAGATACTGTACCCTCCATTGCACCGGATATATGCGGACTTGGCCGAGCAGCGAACTGGATCCAGAGGGTGATGGCGCAGAGAAAGAGACCGCCAGCCTGAACTGCCTAGTCACGGTGTGCCGCCTCCATCCCCACGTTTCCCACCAGCCCCCAAAAGACGTCAACGTCAAAGCCACCGAGTTCGTAACCCGCTGTGCAATCGACGGCAAGTTCACTTTTGTAGATCAACAGTGAGTTTCCACTTTCTAACTATGTCCATCCGCACCATTGATCTTGTCCCACCCTTCCCCGCTGGTTACGGGTTTGATCTGGCAGCCACGGTTCAGCTGAGAAAGGAATGGCAGAGGCTTGTTGTGGCGTCAGTTCATCTGTCAGTGGAGATAATCCTTTCTGTCTTTGCCATTGTTTCTCAGAAGAAAGCTGTACATCTTGATGGCATCACATGACAATCCCTTCTCACTTTTTGGGACGTAATTACACAACACAAATCATGTAAAGAGACTCAGTTCATCCAATCTCTCGTGTGTTAATGGCGAACGTAAAACACTGAGACCTTTGTTAAACATCTCACAACATTGTTTTTGTATTGTGCACAATCTTGGGAGGTGGTAGGAGAGACATAGAAAGCAGGAATAACTAAACTTTGACTCTTCTGTTGTCTATCCAGGGCCACGACAGTCATTGGTTATTTGCCACAGGAAGTTCTTGGCACCTCTTGTTACGAGTACTTCCACCAGGATGACCTTCAGCATCTGGCAGGGAAACACAGACAAGGTGATTGAACAAAACCATCACCTGTAACAAAATCTTCAAAACTTGAAAGAAGGTATTGCACATTAGGAAGTATTAAAGTTATCTGAAGTCCAGTCTTTTTCACAGTTCTTCGAAGCAAAGAAAAGATTGAGACACAATGCTACAAGTTCAAAACAAAACATGGCGCTTATGTTACGCTCCAAAGCCAGTGGTTTAGTTTCACCAATCCGTGGACCAAAGAAGTCGAGTTCATGGTCTCTTCAAACAGGGTTATCTCGTGAGTACTTTTCCCATCTCCACGGATTAATTTGCTGCTTTGAATGTCAACAATGCAAGCTGCAATTCTCCTCTGCACCAACAGGGGACCTGGTCACGCAAAAGATGATAGTGAGGCTGGCAGCTCAAAATCGAATCAGGGTGAGATATTTTTACTCTTGAAAGTTTGTCTTATCTTGCCTTAAAAACTATTCAGGTTTTAATATGTAAAAAAAAATAAGGAAAAGAAAATCGTGTTTTATTTTAAACATTCTAAATTTTGGCCCATTTTGAGTTGGTTTATGTCAGGCAGTTAAAATGTATTCAAGCGGGCAGTTGATAGAATGTGAAACAGTTCTCCGGGGATGAGTTGTAAAAACTCTGATACTTTTCTTCATGCTTCAACAGAAGACTCTAAGCAAATCCCGGAAATACTCTGCCTCTCCAGTGGTGTAGGCACGATGATCTACGCAGGCAGGATAGGGACCCAAATCGCAAATGAACTAGGAGACACATACAGGTAAAGAAATCATTGTTTAATATTTATGTTATGTTTTGGGTTTTTTTTTTTGTTTTTTTTTGCATTTCAATGCTATTCTTACTGCATGAAATTTTTCCCCTGACAAAGAATTTTATCAGGGGTGTATATCCTTTGCTGGTGTTTGTGAATGGCATGCTTTTTATCAGACGGGAATAGCTTAAGGAGTCAATACTGATGTTTAAACATAGTTTTTATTTCTTATTTAAAAGGGCAAACTCATCTCCATCAAGTGGAGCTTCAAGTCCATTTGGCTCTGTCCAGGAAAAATGTCCGCTGACCAGCAGGAGTGTATGTTTCTCCCACTATACATCACCGAATACAGAGTAACTCTAGGAATCTCAAATGTCCTTTACAGAACTAAAAGGTGTATCTGACTCTTTCAGATTTCCAGCAGAGAGGAAGAAGCAAGCAGCTCTTCAAACTCCCAGTCTCAGACTGATTCCGGTAAAGAAGCTGCCGGAAGCAGTGCAGCATCTGAATGTCGAGGTAGCTTTATTTTTTATGGAGCTAAAAGTATGTGTCAGAATTCTGCAAAATGCACTATCAATACTGATATGACCATTTTTTTAAACACATGCACATAAACCACTCTCTATGCACATTTTAGATTTTTATGCATACCGATTCCATACCCCTAGAGCCCCAATATGTTACACGCATAAGTGGCTCTCTCCTCGCTCATGTGAGGAAACAGAACCCAAAACATATCATATGCAGAAGCACTGATCCATAACTACTTTATATGTTGTAAAAGGTTTATATGTTAGAAAACTAGCTCAGTAGATGACTCTGTCTAGGAAATAAACAGTTAAGCAGACAAGCTCTGAGCCAGTTTTAAAGCCAAAGGAATAAATGAGAGCACATGCAGTTAGTCACATTAACTGCTGTTTCTTTCCTATGACTAGGAAAGAAACAGAACTAAACACTGTAAAACAGGCCCAACTCTGTCGTCTATAACCAAAAATGTAGATGGCAGCAGCTCAGTAGATATTTCTCTCCAGGATTGTTTGACAACCAAACAGAACCAGATCAGATGAAGCTACTATGACAAGAAAAAGCAGGAAACATAAAGTTACAGTTTGAACTAACAAATAATGCAGAATAGTTGAACAGGGATAGAATGATGTAAAGTGGTCAATTTTTAACGTCTCAAAACCAACATGTTAGACATTGTTGGAAAGCTTAGATTCTCCACAATTCTACCACCAAGTTCTTCTTATGGACACAGCGAGCCCCAATGCACATTTAACACAGATATAGCAGCATGTTAAAATGTAAACATAACAAAGCAGCCACAACAAGCATGCATGTCTTTATTACTGCTGTTCAAAATAGACCTATTATTTTCGAGAATAAAAAAACTGCTTTGAGTCATGTTTGAACTGATGCAGCTTGGGCTTTGTTTTACTCACAGAATTTTCACCAAAACTTGAAGGTGTTAGCTTTCAAATAATGTATCACAAATGTAATTTGGGCTTACAGCTCCATAGTTATTTGCTTTTCCATTTGGATATGCAAAATAGGTGAGAATTTCCCAAAATGAGGTGGATATTAAGAGGATAAATAGTGCTGGAGATAAGGGAAAAATGATTCCCAGTAGATACAAACTAATTCTAGCCTCACTTTGCTCAATAGTGAAGCTAACGTTAGCTTAGTTCATACAAAGTCCCAAATTTAACATTAAACACCATTTTAGAGCATATGGCTACTGCTTATTTAATGATTACTTCACTTAACCAGTTTTGGACTCCTTAAGAGAACATCAGTTAGCCTACAGATGCTTTGCTAACATTACTAGCTACTACCAGGAAGGATACCTTACAGTATAAAGAGGTGGGAGATCCTGAAAAGTAGCCAATCACAGGCGATTACTTTCTCCAGTGTTTACCTCCCTCAAAGTACATCATATGAGTGTGCAGAAAAAAAATCACACTAGTAGAAGAGAGGCTATGAACACACAGAAAGCTAATCAATAGCGCAGAGGAGGACGCACTCATACGTGGGACATATTGGTCTTGCTGTACTAAATCTGCACTCATAAAAGGTTTGAAATGCGTAGTTTACATGTTTGTGTATTAAATAAATACATGAGTATGTATTGTGAGTGCCCCTTTTTGGTAGAGTTTCAATGTCATGTAAAATAGTGTCAATATTCACAAATACACACGTGTTATTCAGACGTGTTATTTACAAATGGAAACTCAATATGCAAATATTTTACGTTTTTTTTAACAGGAATAAATGGCAACTAATTGGAGGAGTTCAATCTTAAGACCTCAACATTGCTTCTAGCAAAAAAAATTGAGTAAAACATACTTAGTAAGCTACGTCTAACTAATTATCCCCTTTTTTACGAGATGTTTAGTTATTGACATTAATTGGTTAATGTTACGTTTCAAGGGGAGATGTATCGTTGTTTTTGTTGTTAATTAAGGTTAGACAATCTAGGAATGGTAGCGTTAGTAAAGCTATCTAATTTAGCTTACTGACTTAGGGTAATGCTTGCACAAATAAACAGACTTATAGTAAGAATTAAAAAGAAACCATCCAAGAGGGTAACTATTCCAACTTATAAAGTACAAGTAGTATGTTTTATTAACCGCTCCACTGTTGTTGCTAGTAGCCATGTTGATGTCTTGTAGCCTTCCTAAATTTATAAAGTGTTGTAGCCTACCGCTGGTGAAGATTCTCAGTTATCCAGGTCATAGTCATTCCAAAAAAGTTAAAAAAGTTAAAAAACAAAAACAACTCCCCATTGCTAAGGGGTGCACCTATTCTTCCGGTTCAGTTTGCATTTCTAAGCCATAACATTTCTAAGCCATAGCACTTCTAAGGCTTTGTTGGGCTACTCTATAAAGCTAATCCAGACATTTTGAATTGAAAATAATTAGTGAATGGGAAACCAAAGTCCAGTGAATTGTGTTTTAACTTTTTTTTTTCTCTTTTGGAATAGAGCTTTACTATTGATGTGTTTGGCTTATAAATAAATGTCTGCTCACATGGGGTGTTATTATGACCATGGGTATACAGTGGCTAAGGTGTCAAATGCCCAAAACCAAAGCCGATAACTTGAAGGTGCTGTACATGTAAACAAGGAAAGACCCAGTGACAGTAAGCTGACACAAAGAAGAATCCCTAATATGAGGTTTTTAAGGTTGTTTCCTGTTTGGTATCGTTCAGGTGAGCCATTCCAGCTGGATTTGGATGTCCCCGGGCTCAGCAGCTTCAGCAGCGACGAGGCAGCCATGGCCGTCATCATGAGCCTGCTGGACTCAGACGTGAACATGGGCCAATCAGGGGACTTTGAGGATTTACACTGGCCTTTCTAGAGGGAGCTTGTACTCTCATTCACTCCTCTAAAGTTCTTGTGCCCTTTTCCTTACCATATGCCAAGAACATGTGAACGATATAACCAATGGTTGTCGTCCTCAAACAAATGAAGGCACTGGACATTTCCTAGAGGTTGCAACGTGTCTTACTTGAGGACTTCTGTGTGGTAACTTGAGAATTGTTGTGACCAATCTTCTTGGTCTTTTGATCCATGCTTGAAGCAAAAAGAGGGTGAAGTGCATCTGGAGCCAGTGGTGAGCCAGAGTCTTCCTCAGTGAGACCTCAGCACCTCAAGGTGGTCTAGACAAACTTGTGTTTGCTCTGCTGCCATCAGTTACCACGGCATGAAGAAGAATGAAACTCTTGTCATGTTCAGTGCTGCTATAGAAACTCCTCAAACGTTAACAGCTATGTATTTGCATTTGCATAATGAAGACTGTCCTATTTTTTATTACGTGAATGATTGTGTTTTTTTCATATTTAAAGCCCTATTTGCAAAACTCAAAGTAAAATAATTCTATGAAAGGTACTGTTTTGTCTAAACCTATGTTCTGAGAGGGCTGAAATGAGGCCATGTATCCTTTAAGGATCCCTAGATCCCCAAATCTCAAAGAGGTGTAAACCAGCAAGAGTCGCAGATTAGTAAAACGGAAAATTCTGAATTTACAAATGCATATCAGTAACAATTTAGAAATGCTTAGTGTTAAAAACTAATTAGGTTAGGTACATCTTCTAGTTCGTATTGTTTTGTACTCACCAGTCAATTGGGAAATACAGTCTTGTTAAGCTGGGCATACACTTAACAAGTTTTTTACCCTTTTTGGGCCGATTCTCCAGTTGTGCGAGAATTTTTGCCGCATCGTGCATCCTGTGTCGCGTAGTATACATGAGGTAACGAGGGGGGATTTGCTGCTTATGATCATCTCCCGATCAGAAATCAGAAGGTTCGGAGAAAATCAAACATGTTTGAAATTAAGTCGGCCAGGGTAAGATGTTCGTGAGCAAATTCTGGTGTTGAAGCAGGAATACAACCGACGTGTCCGACATGGCTTTTTGATGTACGGTTGTACCTGCAAACCTGCATAGTCATCGTACAGTTTGAGCTGTAGCTGAGTACAACGATTGAAAATATTGTTTATGCCCGGCCTTAGAAAGTACGACTTATATCAAGGTGTACATCAGGAAAAAGGATATAGTGCTGCAGAGTGCAAAAGCTTAGCTTATTCCCCTTCACAGGTTGATGATTTTGTTGAGGGGGTTGCTAGTTCTCTGCGTATTGCCTTAGACAACGCAGCTCCTTTGAAAATGAAAACCGTTAAAAATAGAAAGCTTGCTCCTTGGTTTAATGCAGAGCTGCGTACTTTGAAGCAAAATGCTAGGAAACTGGAGAGAAAATATCGCTCCACAGGCCTGCGAGAGTCCTTCCTAGTCTGGAAAAATGGTTTACAGTTGTATAAGAGGACCCTTTGTAAAGCAAGAGCAGCATACTTCTCCTCATTAATAGAGGAGAATAAGAATAATCCTAGATTTCTTTTTAATACAGTTGCCAAACTCACCCAGAGCCATAGCTCTGTTGAACCGTCCATTCCACCTGCTCTTAGCAGCAATGATTTTATGGGATTCTTTATAAATAAGATTGATCTTATTAAAAATAAGATCATAAGCACTCCTCTATCCGCGATTGTACCTGAGGTAGTCATGGAATCTGAACCGGGTTTAGACTGCTTTGATCCAGTTGAACTCTCTGAATTAGCAAAATTATTGTCTTCATCTAAGCCTTCAACTTGTATGTTAGATCCAGTTCCAACCAGGTTATTTAAGGAGGTATTCCCTTTGATCTCCTCCTCCATTTTAGATGTGATTAATCTATCTCTGTTACAGGGATATGTACCTAAAGCTTTTAAGATTGCTGTAATTAAACCTCTGCTTAAGAAACCGTCTCTTGACCCAGATGACTTGGTCAATTATAGACCTATATCCAATCTTCCTTTCTTATCCAAAATTCTTGAGAAAGTAGTTGCCAAACAAGTTTGCGATCACTTCCACCATAATGAACTTTTTGAAGAGTTTCAGTCTGGCTTTAGAGCTCATCATAGCACTGAAACAGCTCTGGTGAAAGTCACTAATGATATTCTCATGGCCTCAGATAATGGACTTGTATCTGTGCTCGTCCTGTTGGATCTTAGTGCTGCATTTGATACAGTTGACCATAATATTCTTTTAGAAAGACTTGAATATTTTGTTGGAATTAAAGGAACAGCACTAGACTGGTTTAAATCTTATCTATCTGATCGAATTCAGTTTGTTCATGTTAATGATAGATCTTCAACACGCTCAAAGGTTACCTGTGGAGTACCACAGGGATCAGTGCTAGGACCAATTCTCTTTACTTTATACATGCTCCCAATTGGTAGAATTATTAGACAGCATGGGATTAATTTCCACTGTTATGCTGATGATACCCAGCTATATCTGTCTATAAATCCAGATGAAGCTAACCCATTACATAGATTACAGGCATGTCTTGAAGACATAAAAACCTGGATGACTCTTAACTTTCTGCTTCTGAATGCAGACAAAACAGAAGTTATAGTCTTTGGACCAGAGTCTCTGAAAAAGAAACTGATTAGCCAGTCACTTCATTTGGATGGGATTAAACTGATTTCAGATAATAAAGTAAAAAATCTTGGTGTTATTTTTGATCAGGACCTGTCATTTAAATCCCATATCAAAGAGGTTTCTAGAATTTCCTTCTTTCATCTGAGGAACATTGCAAAAATTAGAAATATCCTGTCCAGGGGTGATGCTGAGAAACTAGTCCATGCATTTGTTACTTCAAGGCTGGACTATTGTAATTCTTTACTATCAGGAAGTCCACAAACTGTAGTTAAAAGCCTTCAGCTGATCCAAAATGCTGCAGCCAGAGTTCTAATGAAAATTAAAAAGAGAGATCATATCTCGCCTATCCTGGCTTCTCTTCATTGGCTTCCTGTTAAATCAAGAATAGAATTTAAAATCCTCCTTCTCACATATAAAGCCTTAAATGGCCAAGCTCCATCTTATATCAGAGATCTGATTGTTCCTTATGTTCCTAACAGAGCACTTCGCTCTCAATCTGCAGGTTTACTAGTGGTTCCTAGAATTTCTAAAAGTAGAATGGGAGGCAAATCTTTTAGTTATCAGGCTCCTCTCCTGTGGAACCAACTACCAGTTTTAGTCCGTGAGGCAGACACCCTGTCTACTTTTAAGGCTAGGCTTAAAACTTTCATTTTTGATAAAGCTTATAGTTAGGGTGGCTCAGGTTATCCTGAGCTATCTCTATAGTTATGCTGCTATAGGCTTAGACTTTTGGAGGACATAGGGACCCCCATTTCATCATTCTGCTTCATTCTCTCTCTGTTCTCCTATTCTGCAGAATCTGTTAGTTCAATCTCTAACCTTCTGCTCTCTCTGCTTTTTCTCAGAGTAGCTTTGCCTCGTCTGTTCCTGTTTGGCTGTGACGTCATCCTGGAAAAAAACATCAGCTGTGCTGCTTCTATCAACACCCTTGTTAATAGATGTTGGAGATCGGCCTGTTTTCCAGTGTGGTCCTGTTTCTCTGACCGTGACTGAGTGGATGTGCTCTCTTCGTCCTCTGGCATGGGAGCTGCCTTGGAGCTCGTCTGCCTGGCTGTGTGTTTCCTGGACGGGGCCGCCTTTTACAGCTGCTTTTTGTATCTCTGCTTCTGTCTCCTTGAACCCCAGTCGGCCTCGGCAGATGGCCGCTCACACTGAGCCTGGTTCTGCTGGAGGTTTCTTCCTGTTAAAAGGGAGTTTTTCCTCTCCACTGTCGCTACAAGCATGCTTAGTGTGGGGGATTGTATTTGAGTCAATGAGTCAATGCAATCAACTGGTTTTCCTTAGATAGAAAACTTTGTATCAATTTGACTGTATGATCTGGTTGAACTGTAAAGTGCCTTGAGATGACATGTGTTGTGAATTTGGCGCTATATAAATAAACTGAATTGAATTGAATTGAATTGAATCTTGACATTGGGAGGGTTTTATGTTAGGTGCCATTGCCCAATTTGGAATTTTATAGGATTTAGATCTGAGGAAGTAAAATGGATGTGAAAGAAGGTACTTGAGAGTGTTGCCAACACCTCAGGTGTCTTTTAAAGCATTGCAGAGAGGTATTAAGATAGCTGGAAGGGGGATTTTAAGAGTAATAGTTTTAAAGTAACAGTATTTAGCCATTTAGTTCCATACTCCATACCAGGTGGTAGTAGTAAGGCACCATTAGTTGTTTGCCAACCGCCAAAAGAACTTGATGTAGAAGAAGCAGTGTAGTGAAACACGGAGAAAGAAGGAGCAGAAAGGGAGAAAAGCATCAGCCAATGAAGAAGCAAGTACTGTAAATTACTGAAGCAGGTTTGGTTCTCTCTCGGTATGCAGTAGCATGCAGGCAGCTTGCCTTGCATGACGACAGCTGAGATTGAGAGGTAGCGTGAGGAGGGCTTATTGATCCATTCGCTCCTCACTCAGGAGGTGCTTTTATGTGTTGTTGCCAAAGTCTCCATTAATACAGAAAAAAGTCTGTAGATTTGGCGCTACAGTAAGTACTTTTTCACATTAAGAAGTCATAGAGAGGTCTGAGAAGTTGCTAAATATAGCGACAAAATCGCCACATTGGCAACACTGGTAATGAGTTCACTGAAATGGTTGTTTGTCCCATTAAGAGTCTCGTTTCTGTTTTCTGCCAATCTGGTATGTAATACAATCCATGATGCAATGCATCTGCCTTTGGTTTCAACAGTGAAGGAGGACAGTGGTTTACGAAGGTAAAGTCTGGTATTGCCATACTACGTCACTAGCATATGCCTTTAAATCACTCTATAAGCAAGTCTGCTGCAGATTTGTTCACATTTTTAGGAGCGATCAGAAAATGTTGATGCAAATTTTGAATTTTGACAATGCCATGCAGACGTCTCAATACTTGAAACAAAAAGCGAAACTGACAGCATCAGCAACTTTCTTATCTTTAAAGAAATCAACAGCACCTTTCAAGTCTTTGTTGGTCTTTAAATGAGAAAAAGAAATCCTAGAAAAGAAGAGGTTATGTTAGGGCAAAAGTAACGTCCTTATCTGGACACAGCAGAGCACTGTGAACTCCACACACCGGTTCCCAGTGGAACACATCAGAAGCAGCATAAAGAAGAACCCACAGCATCCTGGATCTTCCACCGTACACATCAGTTGGCATGATATGCTCTTCCACATCTTCATTTCATGGTTCTATAACCGACCAACCTGAAACGGTGCATCTGCTTCTCATCCAATCAAAGCACACCTTTTCAGTTCTAGTTCAAACGTTTAGCAGAATGAACACATTTTTGATGACTGTCCAGAAAAGCTTTTTGCAGCGATATGAGTAGCAAACAACCAATCAGGATGTATGTCTTATGTTTGTGTTACAAAATGGCAGACAGCTAAAATTCAGGTTTTCAGTTTTTGGGAGACAAAAAAAACTTTTAAATAACTGTGCATGTA